TTGTGGACGCGCACGTGCTGCGTGAAGTGCGAGCTGTGGCTGAAGGCGCGGCCGCACTGGCCGCACTCGTACGGCTTCTCGCCCGTGTGGATGCGGTGGTGCTGGATGAAGCCCGACCAGCCGCGGAAGCGCTTGCCGCACTCGTGGCAGGCGTATGGCTTCTCGCCCGTGTGGATGCGCTGGTGCTTCAGCAGCAGCGAGTTGTACTTGAAGCTCTTGCCGCAGGCCTCGCACCTGTGCGGCTTCCCGCCCCGCGGGCTGCCCTGCCGGGCCCCGAGGCCCGAGCCCCGGCCAAAGCTGTCCCCCAGCTCGGAGCCGCCGTTGGTCCCAGAGGCTCCCTGTGGCACGAGTGTCATGCGCCAGGCTCCCCTCTTCTGAGGACAGGACACGGCCCCTGGCAGCTGGCCTGCGGGCTGCTCCGAGCTGGACTCCTGCCCAAAGCTGTCCCCACACGTGGGTCTCCGAGGAAGACTCCTCAGAAGGGTCCTCAGCGCCTCGCCGTCCTGGTCCACCTCGTCTGCAGGACCCTGCAGGTGTGGAGATGGCAGAGCCTGCTTGGGCTCCAGCTCGGAGTCTGAAATGAAAAATGGGAGAGGCAAATGGCACCCACGCACCCACCTACCCACCAGTCCACCTCCACGGGGCCCTACTATGTATGTCATTCTAGGTGGCGGGACCAGCAGGGGGCGCCACAGTGCGGGGACCAGGCTGAGAGCAGGAGTCCCTGGAGGAAGCACAAGGCCCTCTGCTCAGAAGACCGCAGCCCAGACCCCCGCAGGAGGCTGCCAGTTCGCCCTGCGCAAGGGGGCGCCCTTCCCGAGGCCTGCAGGCCCACAGCTCCTCCAAGGGAAGGCCAAGGTCAGGGGGCAACTGCCTCTGGGCCCAGCTGCCCTGCCGAGGGAGCTGCCTGGTTCCATCAGGATCTCCAGATGGGGGCGTGGGGAGGGTAGGAGGGGCTGAGGCCCTGGGTTAGTGCAGCCTCAGCCAGGCTGTGGGGAGAAGGGGATGGGGACCAGAGCTTGATTTGGGGGACAAGTGGAGGCCAAGGGTACTACACAGCAAGAGGGGACAACTTCCTGGTTGCTGGTCTCGGTGAGGGGGGCAGCGTGCTGATCAGGCACACAGGCAGGTGGCTCTGGGGGCCTGGGGCTCAGGGGAGGGGTCTGGGTGGCACTCATAACCTTGGCAAATGTCAGTGATGCGAGTGGAGGATGTGGGGGGCAGATGTGAGCTCCGAGACAGGGACAAGTGGGGCCCAGGGCCCTGGCACAGGTGGTGCCCGAAGCCATGGAGGACGCACAGCCTGGCATGTGGCAGCCGCGGGTAAACGTGCTCCTGGGCTGGCCCCTCGCAGGTTCGGCTCACTCACCTGGCCAGCACGTGTCCCCGCCGAGCTGGACCTCCTTGACGTCTTGGAGATCCAGGTCCGACAGTTCCTCTTCCCTCAGTGGCTGGGAGAGCACCTCAGGGCAGCGGCTGGGGGAGCCTGGGGGCACAGGGGGCTGGGGCTCACCTCCCCCTCCTCTCAAATCCAGCCCAGGGCTCCCATGCCAACCTGCAAGATGCCACCTGCTCCTGGGGCACACCCTCCAGAGCCTGCCCAGTGCCAGGCCACATCGCTCTTCTTTAGGGTCAACCCTGCTTGTTTTCCTTGTGGGCAGGGTCCCCCCACTTTGTTTCTGGCACAGCACAGGGAGGGCTGAAACTGCTGGGTGGCAGCCCACACTCCCTCCCACTGGGCAAAGGCCCCACGCATGGCCTTCCAGGCTCTGGCTGCCCATGGCTGGTCTCCGCTGGCGGAGCCCGGGTCAGGGGCAGCCCCGCTCTGCATGGGCACCGGCCTTCTGACCCTGCAGGCCTGGCTTGGTCAGCATGTCCTCCAGGACAGCCCCCCGCAGCCCTGTGTCCTGCCAGTCCACATCCCCAAGAGGAGGAGCCACTGTTTGCTGGGCCCAGATGGGAGTCCAGGGAGTGGGCT